ATTCTCCCTCCTCAGCCCCCCAAAGTGCAGGGATTATAGGCATGAGCCACCAGGCCTGGCCCACTATGTTTCCGGGAGGGAGGCAAGTTAATGCCAGGCTTCTCAAGAAGGATGGTATTGGGGATGCACATGGTTCCCATAGAAAGACCAGGACTGTCAACAATTGCTGGGACCCTCAGGGGAACCCACATCAGTGGGGTTGGGGGAAGGAGCACAAATGGCAGTTCTTTCAATGTGGCTTCCTGGCTAGTTGGTAAGTCTTGGGGTTCTTAGTTAAGTTAGAAACATTGAAGCTAGTTGTTTTTGGAAAGACTGTGTGAGGGGAACCCATCCTATCTGTCCTGTCTGTCCGTGCCACTGGCTGAGTGGCGTTTGTTTACCCCCCAGAGTGACTGAGAATGGGAGTGATGGAGACATTCAGAGGTGTTGACAGGTGCTTGGTGTGGGAAGTGTAGGAGTTGGGGTCATCCTTTGATGTTGCCAACAGTCTTTTTGGTAAGGTTAAGGGAATGGTTATCAAATTGTGGTGAGAATTATCTGACAGAGGGTGGCATAAATTTAAGGTGCTTGCAACAGTTTGGGAGAGTGTCATTAAGGCATTTTCTCTGGGGAGGAAGGCTGTAAGGCAGTTCTGAAAGACAAAGTATCATTAATTTCCCTCTCTCCTCTGTATATCACAGGGTCTAAGGTGTATCTTCCTCACGTGCCAGGCTTGTTGCTTTCCTTTCACCCCGGTCATCCTCTACTCATACCAAGCCCTTCTGTCCAGAGGGTCAGGCACAGGAATGATAGTACATTTTGATAAAGTTTATGGAGATCCCTTATGTTCACTGCTTGGGCCCACACAGGATACTATAGGAGGACTCAGTGAACAGTGTACTCAACTCAACTCTTAAGTGTTCATTACCTTTATGATCTAAGACAAGGTCAGTCCAACAAGAGATTGCAGGTGGCTGAACCAGAATTAAGTTTGAATCCCCTAGCCTTTTATCCAGCCTAACTCTGAAGGGTACACCAACCCAGCTGGCCTAGTGTTACCATTAAGAGAAAGAATGAAACATCATGCCCAAGAATGGTCAGGTCAGGATCCCAAATTTTCCTAACCCTCTGCTCTTTTGATCTAGAACATGACCCAGGAATCAGCTGAGCAAGATGATTCCTTTCTGGAGAGAGCTGCATCCAGTGACCAAACTGCATTACTAAATTGTGGGGGTCAGGAGGAGGTGAGGCAGATAGAGTCAGAAATGTTTTTTTATTTTTATTTTTATTTTATTTTTTTATTTTTATTTTTATTTTTATTTTTTTTGAGGCGGAGTCTCGCTCTGTCGCCCAGGCTGGAGTGCAGTGGCGCGATCTCGGCTCACTGCAAGCTCCGCCTCCCGGGTTCCCGCCATTCTCTTGCCTCAGCCTCCCGAGTAGCTGGGACTACAGGCGCCGCCACCACGCCCGGCTAATTTTTTTGTATTTTTAGTGGAGACGGAGTTTCGTTGTGTTAGCCAGGATGGTCTCGATCTCCTGACCTCGTGATCCGCCCGTCTCGGCCTCCCAAAGTGCTGGGATTACAGGCTTGAGCCACCGCGCCCGGCCAGAAATGTTTTTTTAATTAAACTTTTGGTTTTGAGTTAATTGTAGATGCACATGCCAGTTGTAAGAAATAATACAGAGAAAGCCTGTGTACTCATTATCCAGTTTCCTCCAGTGGTAACATTCTGCAGAATTACAATATCTCAATATCTCAACAATATCTCAATATCTCAACAATATCTCATGGATACAGCCAAGCTATTAATAAACATTTCCATCACCACAAAGATCCCTCATGTTGTTCTTTCATAGCCAAGCCTACGTCCCTCCTACTCTACCATCGCCTTAATACCTGGCAACCACTTATCTGTTCTTCATTTGTATAATTTTGTAACTTGAAGGATGTTGCATAAATAGAATTACAAAGTATGTATGGAAAGCATCCAGTCTTTCACACTCAGTATAAGGCCAGCTGTAGGTACTTTGGTAGGTGTTCTTTACCAAGTGTGGAAATTCCCTTCTATTCTTCTTTTTCTGAGTCTTTTTATGGTGCTCAATTTTGTCAAGGGCTTATTCTACATTGATTGATATATTCATGTGATTTTCCTTTTCTTTCGGTTGTTCATATCGGGAATTGCATTGATTGACTTTTTTTTTTTTTTTTTTTTTTTTGGTGAGACAGGGTTTCACTCTGTTGCCCCAGCTGGAGTGCAGTGGCAACTGCAGCCCCAACTTCCCAGGCTCAGGTGATCTTCCCACCTCAGTCCCACCTATACCTGGGACTACAGGGTCATGACACCATGCTGGGATAATTTTCATATTTTGCGTAGAGATGGGGTTGTGTCATGTTGCCCAGGCTGGTCTCAAACTTCTGGGCTCAAAGGATTCACTGGACTCGGCCTCCCAACGTGCTGGGATTATAGGCATGAGGCACCACGCCTGGGTTGATTGATTTTATAATTTTGATTTTGCATCGCTGGAAAAACCTCCACTGTGTTGTGGTGTATAATTATTTTTCTATACTGCTGAATTCTGTTTGGCAATACATTGTTAAAGATTCCTGCTTCTTCACCTTGTTACAGCCTGGAAAAGGCGGGAGTCTAGGATTTCTACTCAGCCTCTGTCCATGTAGGAGTGAGTGGGGCCAGGGTTTCTCCTGTGGTGTTTGGCTGAAGTAGAGCCATTACTGCCTAAAAGGTTTTTTTGTCTTTCTAGGCTTCTCATTTCCTGGTCCTTGACTAGAGAGAGCAGGGTTCGTTGAGACTTTTCTGTCTGTGCCTATTGTCATTTTTGGGTTACTGGCTTCTTCAGCTCCAAGTTTGGGACAAATAAACAACAGAAAGAAAGCCCAGGGAACTCAGCATCATGTCGTTCCTTGGGTTCTCATCTGTCTTCTTCTCTCAACCTCTTGGAGTTTCTTATGTTGGAAAATATATAAAGTCCAGGATTTTTTGTTGTGCTTAGCAGGAGAAATGGAATACTGATGTCTACTCTATCTTCCTAAAAGCAGGAGGATTCTTTTTTTTTTTTTTTTTAGTAGATTTTTGGTCAATATCAGATGCCTGTTGATGGTAATGAGTGTGGAGGATTGATCAATACCTTGACTATCAGCCCATTGTTGAGTGGCTTCTGTGATAAAAAGTGCAGCATTGTGAGATTACAAATGCTTCAGAAAGGCGAACACACGACACGTTACTTTCAAGGGCTACATTCAAAGGTTGCTCCTTTGTGGGTTTCCTTGACTGCCAGAAGGATTGGAGTGTTGTGGTTCCACTCATGTAGTGCCACTTTATTTGGTGAGCAGGCTCCTGCATTTTGGGGGTCTTACAGAGTTACGATAACATTGCAGTCAGATCCATTGAAATTGAGGTGTCTGACTATCCAATTGTGGCAGACACACTTGTAGGTGGCCCCTGTGATCTCTACCTCCTGACTTTTCAGAACTGTGGATGGCCATTGGGAGCCTAAGAGCCATCTTTTGGAGCCAAGGGCAGCCTCTAGCTCACATCTAGAAAGAAACTGGGGAGTCAGTCCTAGAGCTGCAAAGAAATGAATTCTGTCAATGACCTGAGAAAGTTTGGAAACGATTCTTCCCCAGTAGAGACTGCAGATGACAATGCAGCCCGGCTGACACTTTGATTGCATGCTTATGAGAGCATAAGCAGAGGATCTAGTTAGGCCATGCCTGGACTTCTAACCTTCAGAAACTGTGCAGTGATATACATGTGTTGTGCAAAGCACTAAGTGTGTGGTAATTTGTTGCACAGCAATAGATTAAAAATACACCAACAAACAAGACATTATCATTGTAGTGAAAGCTTTAGACACTCATAATAAATTCTGACCCCTGCAGGGATGGCAAATTGCAGATGAGTTTATGTACCATGATAGAGTACTGCAAACATATATTTGGAGAAATCTGTGGCATGCTGGGATAGGTGCTGGGTCTTGGAGATTATTTTAATATCTACTTTATAAGGTAGTTGTAAGAATTAAATGTGATAATGCAGGTAAAAGCTGTTTAATGCAGGGTCTGGCGCCTTCCCTGGCATGCAGCCCAGTGAGTGTGGCTCTTGCCAACTTAATATTTCAACGAGGTCACGTTTCTGTCAATATGCACAAATTATAATGGCAATTGATTTGCAGATCTCTTCTTTCCTCCTCTCCTCCTGACCTACTAATCAAAAAACTGGTTAACTCTCCAACTAACTTTCCCAAGTTGAAAGCAACGTTTGGCGCAGTCCTTTCTCAATTCTCACATAACAAAGCAGCATTTCTCGGTTCCCTACAACGACCATCACTCAACACAAAAAACCAAGCAGGTCTGCCGAACCACTCTCATACTCAGCCCTGGTCATGTCCGCAGGAACAACTTCAATTCTGGTTAGTAAGGACTTCAATGAAGCGTTCATTAAGGTTTTCCCTCCACCGAAAGAAAGAATACCGTCCCCAGGGTATTGGGCCCTATTATTTGCTCCCTGGAGAAAGTGACGGGAGAGGAATCCCAAGGCGTGGCCTGAACGCCCTTTGGGGGCGTGGGCAGCCCGGAGCCCCAGCCGCTTCCACTCCAAGCACCAGGCGCGTCTTATTTACAGCCCCCAAATGGCTACAAATCATCCGCCTTGTTTTCAGCCCCCAAACGGCTACAAATCATCCTGTTTAAACAAAGCGGTCTGTCTAAAAGGAGGGGCGTAACAGGTTCGGGGCAGGGGAAAGACCTGGGAGTAGGCAACCTCCCTCTCGGCCCCGAGCCGTCCCGGGCGTGCAGCCGCCGAGTGCCACATCAGCGACGGCGCTGCACTTCCACGTTCCCTTAGGATGCAACCAGCGGGCCTGCGGGAGGGGCGCGCCCGAGGCCCTCAGGAGTGGCGGGTCGCCCGGCCAATCCGCGGCAAGTGAGGAGCCGCGGCCACCAATGAGCTGGGGCTTATGCCAGCCGCGGCCGCCGAGGCTCGTGCCCCGCGGGCGGAACAGATGAAGCACATCTGGACAGCTGTGCTGAGAAGCTGTGCGGCCCCCTTGCGGGCCGACGTCAGCCGAGCACGTCCCCCACGTCCTCTCCTTCTCGCCACTTATTATTTATTCGTTTTCCCAAAGAAGCAACCCAAGTTTAAAACTTTTTCCATCCCTAATGCGAGACGTGGCCAGATCCCATCCAACACACGGTTCAATTTTCATGGGGCTCTGGGATCAAAAGAACAGAAACAGCAACAACAAAAGCCTAGCCGCTGTCTGACTTTAAACTGGCAAAGTGGGAAAAATAAAGCGTTGAGTAAACAGACCAAGTTGGGTAAGTTTTGGATACGTGCTGGATATCATATTTCTCTTACTGTGATCTCTATCCTGTGTCTTTTGCTGTTCTCACCAGCTTTCTCTTTATCAAGGGGAGAAAAGTAACACTTGCTCTGACAAACTGGACCCTTCTCTCCCTTCTCTTCCGTTTCACTAACATTCTAATTTAATTTTTTTGGTTTGCTATTCATTTTTTTTTTTGTGTGTGTGCGTTAGTTTTAAATATACTGGGAACAGAAATTTGATTGATATCCTGTTGTAAACCTCTAACTCCAAAATTTAATCTATTGATAAATTTATTTCTCTATTTTCTTTCTGTGAAAATACTGTGGACATTTGTAAAGCCAAAATAGTTTTCTATCCCTGACTCTGGGACTGTTTTGATGGGAGATTGAGAAAATCATCTGATCTATTCAGAATTAACACGTTTGCTTCTGTTAATAGGGTGTTTAATATAAATTATGTAAAACCTGGATTATGCAAGTAGTTGCTGGATTTTTCACTTAAATCTGGAGGTAGTTGCAAGTCAAATATGTGTATTTTCCGTATTCTCCCATCCATAGTGGGATACCTGAATTCCTTTATAAAAGTTAAAAAACAAACAAACATGTGACAGACCACCTGTGTGTTCATAAACTTATAATCGTATATATGTTATATAGTATATATACACACTATATAGTATAGTATATATACTACATTTATACTATGTATGCGATATAGTATATATACTGTATATATGCTACTTTTTTTGTTGTTGTTATTGTTTGTTTTTGAGACAGAGTCTTGCTCTTGTCGCCAAGGCTGGAGTGCAATGGCGCGATCTCGGCTCACTGGAACCTCTGCCTCCCGGGTTCAAGCGATTCTCCTGACTCAGCCTCCCAAATAGCTGGGGTTACAGATGCCCGCCACTGTGCCCAGCTAATTTTTGTATTTTTAGTAAAGACGGGGTTTCGCCATGTTGGCCAGGCTGGTCTTGAACTCCTGATCTCAGGTTATGTGCCTGCCTTGGCCTCCCAAAGTGCTGGGATTACAGATGTGAACCACTGTACTCGACCTTATAATTGTATATTAAAACAATAACTCTATCAAAATAATATGCAATTGTTATACGTACATGCTTGCAGATAGCTCTGGTATACATTGCAGGATTTAGAAAGAGAATGATGAAAAATATTGAGTTAGGTGAGTAGCCTGAGACCTACTCCATCTGAAACATCTATAATCCCCTCTGTTTAAGCAATGTTTTGGATTTGAGACTTTTGTCTTATGTTATTTACTGTCACGGGAGAGCTGGATAGAATGGATCTTTAATTTTTGGCTCAGAAAGCAGTAGATGGGAATTTAGTACGATAATTAAAAGTTGCAGGCTGGGTGAGGTGGCTCATGCCTGTAATCCCAGCACTTTGGAAGGCCAAGGCAGGTTGATCATGAGGTCAGGAGATCCAGACCATCCTGGCCAACATGGTGAAACACTGTCTCTGCTAAAAATACAAAAATTAGCTGGGTGTGGTGGTGCATGCCTGTAGTCCCAGCAACTCAGGAGGCTGAGGCAAGAGAATCACTTGAACCCAAGAGGCAGAGATTGCAGTGAGCCAAGATCACGCCACTGCACTCCAGCCATCTCCAGCTCTGGTGACAGAGTGAGACTCCGTCTCAAAAAAAATAAAAAACAAAAAACAAAAAAAACAAATCTGAGTGTGTTTTTGATTCAGAAAGGCAATGCATACAAAGTGGATGGAACAGCTCAAATGATTTGCAGGGAAGCAGGCTTAGAAGGAACAGGGTTGCAGAGAAGCAATGTAAAGAGCCAGCCGGCCTGGTTCAATTCACAGTCCCACAGTAAGTTACCTAGGGTGAGTTACTCAGCCCCCCTGTGCCTCAGCTTCCTCCTCTGTAACATGGAGAGTTTCCTCTTCTCTGGTGAGTTTCCTTCTCAGTTCCGTCCTCTGTAATGTGCTAATAATAATGGCACCTACATCATGGGGTTGTCTGAGGACTGAGTTAGCATATATTAAATACTTGGAATAGTTCTGGCCCATAGTCCCACAGTATGTCTTTGCTGTTGTACTCACTCTTTGTTACCTTCCTTCCCAGCCTGTGATGTTGCACATCAGTTTCCCCAGCTGCCGTTCTGACTTCTGCTATAGCAACGGGTATTAACTGAGTGCTGACCACTTGCTAGTCAGCATTGTATGAGGCTATAAGGAGAGTCTTGAATGAGGAGTGAGGTAGAATTGATCTTAGGAAGATCTAGAAGGTTCTGGAAGTGCAGGGGATAGGAAAAGGCCATCTGTTGTAAGATGGCTTCACGGAAGGACTTGTGTTTCTGGGAATGGGTTTTGACAAACAGTTTTGGTTTGGGAATGGGAGGAAGGGAAGGGATTATAGAGGAGCAGGAACATTTTAGGAGGAAGGAGACCCTTTGCAGGGGCAAAAGCACTATGACTGGAAAGTGAGGAGCTATCCTGTGGATGTTGGGACATTGGGATAATCTGTGGGAGGTTAGTTGGAGGAAAGTTTGGAAAGGTGGGAGAGGTGGGAAGGGATGGCGTGAATTACCTGATAAGGACAGAGAGGCTTGGGAGGTAGATTGGTGGGGAGATGGCAAGCCGAACTGTCAGCAGTTACATAGAAGAGATGTTTCTGGAATAATCCATCTCTGGGGTCCCGTCTCCTCTCTTGCCCAGCATTCCGTTCCCATCTGCTCCACTGCATCCATCCAGGTCCTGCAGGTTGGGCGGGCAGGGTTGGGCAGTGAGTCTGGGCCCTACGTTTTGGACTCATTCCATGGTGGCTGTCTTGGAGCTCCGCTTAAGTGGTCTGGTGCTCAGGGCAGTTACCCAGGCTGCTTTTTGTTAACAGGCCATGCCCTAAAGTCTTTGACATGGATGTGGTTGTTGGAACCCTCCCCATCCACATACACACCCATAGTGTGTGCCGAGTAGCTCTTTCTCATCCTGCTGATAGAATCATCTACTCATATTTTAACACATATAACTTCATAATTTACCACTATTGAAGTAGATAAAAACTGTAATATGCACCTAAGTGAAGGATCAGCTTGGAGTTCCCTTGCTTTCTCTTCCCTGAGAGCATTGTTCTGTGGTAGAGAGGTATGCCTGGCGCTGCTGTTGACCACCAGTGTGACCTCAGGCAAGACATTGAACCCTTGTGGTCCTCCTTGCCATCATCTGTGAAATGATCTCTAAAGGCCCTTTTTCTCTCGGTTGATCATTTATTCTTCTCCCCTGATCCCTGGAACAGTCCATTATTCACATATGGCTATTTCACACATCTATGACTAATATTTTCTGATCACTTAATACATGGTGGACGTTCCAATAATGGTCATGTCCTCCTCACAGTCTCCTGTGAGGGTTGGTACCTATTTGTATCCTGTTTTTCTAGTTGGGGAGACAGGAGCAAAGGAAGTTTAAGAAATTTGCCCAAGATTACATAGTGAACAAGTGGCAGGTGTAGACCCAGTCTAACTTTGGAGCCCAAATCTTAACCAATGGGCTATACTACCTTAGGTATAATACAGCTATGACTGCTCTTCTTGTTTGTGGTGGTGATAGTTCAGAAGTACATGGTAGGAAGATCATTGGAGAAAGGGCATATTTGGAGATACTTAGTTGATAAAATTTGCCTGGTGGGGCCAGAATATCAGCATGAATCTTGTCTATGAAATGTGCTCCACATGGAAACAGGAGACATTTGGATCTCATTGCAGACATGCACTCTGTCTTTTCACCTTGTTTGAACAAAACCCACATAGCACCTGGTTGTATAGTAGACACTCAGTACATGTCAGTTGAATAACTGTCCCCTTTGAAAAAGGAAGTTGTGACCGCACTATTTTTATTTAAAAAAATAAATAGAGAAACTATGCAGTCTCTCAAGACTCATGGGAACATGAGGCAGACGCCAGGTAAACATTCTACTCCTGCTTTTGGGGCCTCCCCCTTTCTCTTTTTATTTCTGGAGATGCTGTGGTTTTGAGCTAAGAACTTCTCATGGTGAATATCAATGAAGGGCTATTTTAGGTGTATAGTTATTAATCATACCCATTCTGGATTTGGCATCTATCTTTTTGGGAATTCATTCCTCAAATATTTTGTGTATTGAATCAACTTTAAAATATTCTAAAAATGTTTTAGTTTGCTCTTTATCTAAGGTAGCTGCTCTTTTCAGTATGGCATAGTGACTAAGCACACAGGCTTTGAAGTCAGACTGTGAGGGTTTGAATTCCAGATCTGATTCTTACCAATGTGGCCTCGGGCAAGTCACTTTCCTCTAGACGGTTTTATTACCTGTAAAATGGGGATACGCGTACGCATTACATGAGAAAATCCATGGAGAGCATTCAGTATATTGTCTGGCTCACAGTAAAGCCTGTACATGTAAGCGATTCTTTTTTTATGGTGGTAAAATATTTAATAACATAAAATTTACCATCTTAACCATTTTTAAGTGTACAGTTCAATGGCATTAAGTACATTCACATTGTTGTTTAACTCTCACCACCATCCATCTCCAGACATTTTTCATCTTCCCAAACTGAAACTTCATACTTATTAAACAATAAATCTCTGTACCCCTTACTTTATCAGCCTCTGGAACCAATATTCTACTTTCTATTTTTATGAATTTGACTATTCTAGGTACCTCATATAAGTGGAATTATATCATATTTATTCTTTTATGTTTAGCTTATTTCATTTAGCAAAATGTCTTCAAGTATCATCCATGTTGTCGTATGTGCCAGAATATCCTTCCTTTTTAAGGTGGAATAATACTTCATTGTATGTATATACCATCTTGTGTTTATCCATTTATTCGTTGGTAGAGGGACTTAGGTTGTTTTCACCTGTGACGGTTAATTATGCATCAACTTGTCTAGGCCACAGTACTGAGCTATTTGGCCAAACATTATTCTAAATGTTTCTTTGAAGGTATTTTTTAGATGATGATATGGTTTGGCTTTGTGTCCCC